CCATAGTAAGGGCAATTCATACAATACATTTAAACTGAGCTACTTTAATACCATCTCCGAACTTTCTACCACGACTCTGCTGTTCTTCGGCTGGTTCTTCCCTGTATACGTTGATTGACAGATATCTCGTCCAGTCAGCGGTGAGTAATCCCAAACCAATGGCGCTGTCTCAAACTATACCTATCTCTTCCGGTTTGTCTGATTTGTCGTTGTGTTTTCTGACTTGTTAATTTGCTTTCGGACTTGTCGTTGTGTTTTCTGATTTGTTATTTTGTTTTCGAATTTGTCAATGTGTTTTCTGACTTGTTATAATGTTTTCTGAATTGTTATTTTGTTTTTTAGACTTGCATTTGCGTTTGTAATTTGTTATTTTGTTTTCAGAATTGTGATTTGTTTTGCTCGGCCACCGTACTATTCCTTAAATAACCTTACTTATTTCTTAGTTGCTAATAAACATCTTCTCACTAATTACAGTTTTGTCTGTTATATTCAATGACTAGTCAGAATGACTACTTTTAAAGTTCAATTAAAATCTTACTAGTAAGATTAAAAATAAAAAAAATTTCAGTAAGATTAAAAATAATCTTGATGCAATCAAGATTAACATTCTTAGAATTGTGTACTTTAAATGGCTATGAATTCAATTATACTCCAATGCATAAGAATGAAATTTGCTCTTGGTGTTGGATTTTCAGCAGCAGGATGGTGAATGAGGGTGCTGGCGGCCCACGCAGTCGCAGGGGGTCTCATAAGGTGGTTCCGTCCTCAGACCAGGATGGCACAGGAGCCGAAAGAGCCACAGGAGAGGTGCCCTGCCCCAGTAATGGTGAGACTGAATCACTAAACAAAAAAAGTGCAGAGTATTCAAATTAGGTGGAGGCAAAACAGTCACATTAAGATTCAAATGAATAGACAGAGTTCCTCTTTTCTTAGGTCTAATGCAGGTCATTCAACTCTCACCCATTGGAATCAGTTGCAACATGTTTCACTCAGTGTCCTTACTATTTACATTACGTTACAACTTGTACAACTCATCATTTGTATGACACTGTCATACAAAAGAGTACATACCTTTGATATTATTCATTTGCAGGCTCAACAAGAGAATTTTTTTCTCTTTTTTCTTAAACAGCCTGGTCTGTTTAGGAGTTTTCAGTGAGGAAAAAAATATAATTGATTTTATGTGGTAGAAAATAGGTATATTATTAATTAAATGTTAATTTTCCTTCAAGTAAAAGGTTTTTAATTTGCGATAATAACTGAAATAATTACCAATAATAACCTTTTTTGTATTGAGGTCTTAATTGAGCTGTGTAATCATATATGCATTAAAGGGGTCATATGATGCGATTTCAATTTTTCCTTTCTCTTTGGAGTGTTACAAGCTCTTGGTGCATAAAGAAGATCTGTAAAGTTGCAAAGACTAACTTTTTCTGGGGAAGTCGTGGCCTAATGGTTAGAGAGTCGGACTCGTAACCCAAGGTTGCAGGTTCGAGTCTTGTACCGGCAGGGTAGGTGGGGGGAGTGAATATACAGCACTCTCTTCCACCTTCAATACCATGACTAAGGTGCCCTTGAGCAAGGCACTGAACCCCCAACTGCTCCCCGGGTGCCGCAGCATAAATGGCTGCCCACTGCTCTGGGTGTGTGTTCACTGCTGTGTGTGTGCACTTTGGATGGGATAAATGCAGAGCACTAATTCCGAGTATGGGTCACCATACTTGGCCACATGTCACGTCACTTTTTTTTTTTAAAGTCTCAAATCCAAAGAGATATTCTTTATGAAAGTTAAGAGTCAACCATGCCTACCTAAAACAGCTCATTCTAACACGCCCCCACATGTCTACATCACGATGTGGGAAGATTTGCATAACGCCGCCCAAATGTTCACGCAAAGAAAGGCGTAACTTTTATTCTCGCTGTAGTATTGTTGCCGCCGCCATGTCGTGACTGGATAGCTGGCCAATCAGAGCACACCTCGCTTTTTTAGAACGATGAGCTTTGTAAAAATCGACGCGTTTCAGAAAGGCGGGGCATAGAGGAGAAACAATAATGTGCATTATATGGAAATATGTTTTTTGAACCTTAAACCGCATAAACACATTACACCAAATACACAAAATAATGTTCTTTTTAGCAACGTCATATGACCCCTTTAAAGAAGAATGAGGAAACAATGGCCATGACATATTCATGTCATGGTAGTGAAACCATCAAGCTAAATTCTAGGCTTATGAACAGACTGCCATGTGATTTGCCGTGTGACCTGATTGAGAAATTGCCATGTCCTGCCCAGTACTGTTATCAATGATGCAGTCATTTCCATTAACTCAGACATGATGACACTGAAAATGCTAGAGTAGTGTTTCATTGTGCAACCTCACTGCCAAATAGATTCAGGTTAATTTCATAAGATGCTTCACAGTGTAGCGTTTGAGTTAGTGTTAGTGATTTTTAAAATTATATTTTGAAAATGTAATTGATAAAATATCACATTTTAGGGTTTTTTCAGTGGTATATACTGTAGTGCATTTTGTCAAAAGTCATCAGGTTGTACACTTACTATTAATTCATTACCTCTTAATAATCTCCCATAGATTGATATGAAGACATTGCGTTCCTCTCTGTCTTTCTTTTTACTGCATTTTAAAACTATTAATTAATTGTAATATATTTAAGTCTAGTCCATTCATTGGCTATGGGCTTTGCCTTTGACATATGTATCCATCAATGCTAATGTAAAGTCTCTCTTTCCTAAATGAAAATGACTCTTTTTCAGTCTTTAATTCTACGAAGATTAAATGGGGATTCATATTTGTATTTATATTGAATAGTAAATATTGTATCTTCATTTGGGTAAAACCTGCTGTCACCATTATATTCAGTTTAGTTATATATACCCACACAGTCACTCTTTGTCTGGTCACAGTTATGTGTATGTGTTTGCTAACACCTGTCTGCCCGCTCCTTTTGGATTTATTATTAAACTTTGTTGTGTGGAACTTTATTCATTTGCCTTCATCTGTCTGCCAGCAAACACTGTGACAGATAACCAGACCAATAAAAATGGATTATAGTGCGCGATTCGCTGCGATTGCCCGAATAAATACGGACATTCTCAGTTTCACCAAGGACTTCTACCTTCTCGCCGTCACCTGCCCTTTTGACGATGAGACCCTGAAGTCACTGTTCTGGATCGGGGCAAATTACCATCGCCCCATTGACCTCCCAGACTCCATGGCACTGAGCTGGATCATTCGGTGTCTGGAGAGCGTCCGCCCCCTATCCAAAACACAGCACGAACCAGAGCCCAGCCAGCCATTACCACCCAGCTGCACGGAGGGTCTGCCTGAACCCACCGCAGATGGAGAGCCCGAGCCAGCGCAAGGAGAAGCGACTGCGCCTGCCATCGCCCCGGAGCCAGAGGCTGTCGATGCGGCTGACCAGGTGTGTGAGCCAGCAACACCGCACGTGCCTGAGGGGATATTAGTGGAATATGAAGGGATGGATCGAAGCCCCGCCCACACTCCCACCCCTGAGGGTGAGCCACCACTGGCCTCTGGAAATGTTGTGGATTATTTCCTGGATTGTTCTGAATCGTCTGTCTTCCTGCTGGTTCCGTTCAGCCCTGCCCCTCCTGAGTCTTCTGAATTTTCAGTATCTTCTGAATCTCCTGAGCCTCCTGTGTTCCCTCCCAGCCTCCCTCTCCTGCCTCCTCTCCATATATCTGCCAGTTCTTTTGCCCTGTCTTCGCTGGTTCCTGTAAGCCTCTCAGCTCACCCTCAGTCAGCGCCATCCTGGAGCCTCTTCTCGCTATGGGTCTTTCAGTCTCCAGCTCCACCTTGGCGTGAGGATCCCCTGTCTCCGCCTCTGGTCTCTGAGGCCTGGATTCCACCTCGGCCCTTCGACCCATCGGCTCTGCCTTGGCTCCTAGCTCCCTCATCTCCACCATGGCCCGTCATCCCACTGGCTCCCTCATCCCTCCAGCTCGTCCGTCGTCAATCGTCATCACCAGAGGATTTCCCTCCTCCGGCTGCACCTCGTCCCTCCATCATGCCGCTGGGGTCTCGTCGTCATCATCCACCGATTGTCACTGCTCCTCTCATCTTTTGGCAATTTCTGTCTGCTTTTCAGCCTGTCATCAATCCTTTGCCCTCTCCTCATCCACCTCCAAAACCCCCTTTGTCCCTCCCTCTGTTTGTTTGTTTCGGCGCGAGGTCGTGCCTCTCTGGAGAGGGGTGTAATGTCACCATTATATTCAATTTAGTTCTGTTCTAAGACTTTTAGTTTGAATTCCCTAAGTTTGTGCCTTCCTTTGTTTGAATTTCCCGCCACTCTTTAGTTTCCATGGCCACCATTATCATTAGTTCTGTGTTTCATTAATCATCTTGTGTGTCTGCTTTATGTATTTATATTTATACCCACACAGTCACTCTTTGTCTGTTCACAGTTATGTTTGTGTTTGCTAACTCCTGTCTGACCACTCCTTTTGGATTTATTATTAAACTTTGTCGTGTGGAACTTTATTTTGTCTGCCTTCATCTGTCTGCCTGCAAACACTGCGATATCTGCAGCCTACAGACTAATGAAATTAGTTCTTTTTTTTATGTATACATGTGGTGACTTTTTTTGAGGGCATCTTAGTGCATTTATCAATATAAAATTAGTTTTCAGTGCTTTTTAGAGAAATTCTGTGATGTCAATGTCCTTATGTATGTTAATGTACTACAGTCTTTTTTAAAAAGTGTTGTATGAATCGCTGTCTCTTCTGTTTGCACTTTAACGGATGCTGGTATTCTGTTTGTATTATGTTGGATTAGTTAAACATGAGTGGTATGGTAACCAGGATATGGTGACCACAAGTGCCACAGAATGACCTGTGTCCATCTGTGTATAGTTGTGTTGTGAGCATTCATGAGGGAACTGTATTGATGTCTTTTTTCAGGAACAGTGGAAGTGGAGCACATTATCAGCACAAAACTACAGCTGAAGAAGAAAGCTGAGGTAGGATAGCTCAGAGGCTTTCAGCTCTTTTTCTTGACTTAAAAAGTAAAATATTAAAACCATGAGGTGAACAGAATGTCAAGTGTCATATGTGTGCAAATCTTGTTCTTTATCACTGTATTGTAGTAGACTATCGGTATTATCACAGATTATCTGTATTATCACACATTATGTCACAGATTAACAGATCCTAAATGTTCAAGTGTGACCTTTGGTTTGACTAAATCCTTTCAGTGTCTTAAATACAGTGCTTAGGACTGTGATTTTGATCTGTGTAAAACTGACAGAGCTTTTGTTTAGTGTAGCAGCTGTGAATGTTTGTTCTGCTTTGTTCATTTTCATCAACCTCTTTAGTAAGCAGAAAGTTTTGCTCAAGCACAGTCTCTATTTAGTTTTTTAAATATTTAGTTTCTGTTAGTGGGTTAGTTAAATGTTGTTTACAGCACATGCCAGGTAATCTTGTAATGTAATAGTCCTTGAATGCATGTGTGTGTTTACATCTTTTCACATCTTATCTCACACACACACACACACACACACACACACACACACACACACACACAGAGAGAGTATATATATAT